CCCGGGCCTGAAGCGCCTGCGCCGGTGCCTCACCGACGCCGTCCAGGCGCGATGCGAAGGTAGTCTGGGTAGAAGAGTCCTGTCCGGTTTGATAGGGATAGGAGCAGCTTCGCCTGTTCGCGTTTCATGTCACACGAATTCTTAGCGCTTGAGAAGACACTGGCGAATTCACGGTAGAATAGGCTCCTGCCTCTTCGCGTTGGATTCCCATGCTGGTCATGTCTTCTTGCGTTTGATGTCGCACTGCTTCTTGCGTTTGATGTCACTGCTTCTCAGGAGCTGGCTGGCACTTTGGAAGCGGTGGTTTTGTCGCCTGAGAAGCCGGTGGAGGCACCAAATTCATTATTCGGACCTGTTGACTAAGTGGTTTGTTTGTTTTGATTGAACCTAAGACCTAAGTCAAACATTGTTGAATTGTTTCTGTCACAAAGGAATCAATGTTGTACCGTATGATTGACTACATGCATCGGCATTGAATCCAACTTGCTTTCTTCACATAGAGTGCCTTCGAACGTTCAGCACATGCTCCTCATGTGAAGAGAAGCAAAGACAATAACAACATCAATGTTTAACACAAACTACTGGGAGAGTAAAGGAAACATCCGGTTGGCCACGGAAAACAAACGAAAACACGAGTTGGTTTGTTTTCATTCAATGAGCTTTCCACATTCCATGTCACCATGTCACAATCCTTGGTACTCCTTTGAGTTTGGATATTCCGATGGAAACCTTTACAGTCTAGAGTAGTCCATGGGGGGATATTCATATACTGTTTTTGCATGTTTGTGCAATGTTTTTTTGACACGCAATTCTTTTTCTTGGCGATCCGGCCATGTCATTCGATTGACGTGCATCGATTTTTCCGTGGTTTTTTTGGGATTCAGATTGCTCAGATTCGCACCCGACTGACCGCTTCCTTCGTGGCCCTTCGTGGCAGGTGGAGATCGAGGATGCGGATCTGGTGGAAAGGCCTGGAAGGGTTCCAAGATGTTCAACGGATTCGTGGTAGGTCCAGTCGTGTCGCCTCGTGGCGTCCGGACGTTCTACGCGCTCAGTATGTTGTTTTGATGACCCCCCTTGGTCATTAAATGTGTCGATTGAAGTCACCTTACTGCTTGGCAGCTCTATGATATCCCAGCATAGTCACCGAGAGTGTAGTGTTTAGGATTTGTTGGGACAACTGTCCAAGTGAATTCTAAGTGTTCCAACATTACTGATGATATTTTGTGATCCACTGGGTAGTGCACTGGGTCTGTTTTCGCTGTGTAATGTCTCAGGACGCTTGCTCCGCTTCGCCAAGATAGACAGGATGAGTAACGGGATGATAGGAATTGCTGAGAGGTCAACCGCGCGACTGATTGTGGTGTCCTGCGTTTTGAATGAATATTGAGCAAAAGTTCGGTCCGGTTCGACAGAATCACCGCATGGAACCGGAGGGTGGGAGAGAACTCGGACAGCAATGAACGCGGATCCATTTAAATCCAAAACCAAAATCCGAGTGCTGTCAAATCAATGTGCTGTACGTGGATAACAAATCCATTCGGAATCAAATCCGAAATCAACATGATTCCGCCTCTTGCGGGTGCAGAACGTGAGTCTGTAGAGTCCAGACGTGAAGAGTCGTGTTTTGAAAGATGTGTTTTGTGCGTTGCAAAGAGGAAGGAAGAGTGTTTTGTGAGTTTCGATCGAGTTTTGGGCACCTTCAGATCAGATGTAATGTTTAATTTGACTTGCTGTGGAAATGAATGCAGGCCTCCAGGTGCACCATGGACCTTGGGCAGCTCAGCCAGAATGATAAGAAAAGGGACATGGATGTCCTTGTTTTGGCACCATGAGGGTTGGCCGGCAACCTGGCTTTCGGCGAGAAACCTGGTGCCAAGGATACTTTTGGTTCCCTTGGTAGGTGTGACTTACTCATAGCATTCGAATGTATTCGATGGCGGTGGTGGCCTAAAGGAAACTATGTGAAACATTGTGAAACTATAGTAATGTTTGTTGTAACCGAAGATTAAGATGAACCCTGCAGAGATAAATAATACTATTGTTGATCTTCGAGTCCATTTGTTGGGAGATATTCCGAAGTTGGGTAATGAAGATTTAGACCGGTGCACCAGGACCGACCAGGACCCACATGCTGCATGTTTTTCTCCAGGACCAGAAATCCATGAATACTTGTTTGAAGGGATTATGGAGGCTGCATGGTCATTTGTGATTTTTGCTTGGGCACAAGCGCGGGTGATCAAATGGTAGCTCATGAATCAGACAATAGAAACAGTATGGAAAAGCAGCTTGTTTTGGCAGTTTGCCATGGGAAGAGAACAGTGAACAAAGAGTTGTGGAACATGTGGAACCTGACAGTTCGACATGTTCACTGTGGTTGTTGTCAAGTGGCCTGGATGTTCATCATAATGTCCCGTTTTGTTTGGTTTCCAGTCCGTTTGGTTCACAAAACTGTGTATCTCTTGCTTGAAGACTGCTTGATCTTGATCTCCATACCGACCCATATCCGAACAATCTACCTTCCAAAGCTATATCATGCTATATCTCTCCCCGGTCCGGGTGCTTGTACAAGAAATCTGCATGGTTCCAGGTGTGCGCCCATCTCCGTCTTCCAAGGTCCCAAGACTTCCAGCTCCAGTGCCTCTCAAAAGGCCCGACCCTCTGCGTTTCCACGCCGCGCGCGTGGCTCGGCGGCCCGATTGGGAGGCAACGGGGACTCCGTTTGGAAAGCGAAGCAGAGGAACATTGAAAGATGGGCGAAGCAGGGGGACTCTTCTTCATTCGGATCTCCGAGGTGTTGGGGTGCCGGAAGCCGGCTTCACCTGGCTTCAGTGGTATCTGAAACAGCTGAGGTTGGTTTCTGGTTGTTTGGTATGATGAGAGGTTCTCAGTCGACTTCGGTTCCTTTGAATGGCTTCAAGGTGGGGATTTCTTGGAATTCGCTCTAGGTGGGCGAAGTCCTCCTCCTTCCAAGCCATGTCCTGGCCATGCATCATTCTATTTAGAAGCTACTCCCATGAACTTATATGGAACTGACAACATCTTCACAGGCGCCTTTGCCTTCAAGTTCTATGTTGCAGTGATTCATGTCACAAACGAGACGTTTGATCATGTTTAGAACATCGGATATGATGACCCAAAAGTGCAACCTCAACTGGTTCAACTTAGTCAAGCCAACCTAGATCACTGAGCCAGGCAGCCCAATCAGGGCTGAGTCCTGGTGTGGCCAGGCGCGCGCCGCCAATGCCTGGATGGCGGACCACTCCATGCTGGCGCCTACAGGTCGGACATCACCCCGAGGAGACGGAGTCATCACCCCGAGGACCCTTTTCGGACATCTGCTTTTGGAAAGTGGAAACTAGGAGTTCGGAGTTCGGTTCAGTCCGAAATCGTCGATATTTCTCATATTGAGCATAAATTGCTCGGGCCATTGGGGTCATGTCAGAGGGCGTATCACCTCGGAACTGGGAACTCAGATGACCTGAGATACGAGTGCATCCCATTGGTCACCTTGATCAACCTGACATGTGTTTAACTTCTGGAAGCTAAAATTGCTGGTCTTAAACATAGGACATACTCGGACATAGTCATGAAACATGGAACAAGAAGGGCAATGATACTGAAACGGGTAGATTGTGGTAGATTCAATCCACCAGTGAAGGGTGTGAGTGATGGAACGATTTCACAAGAGGAAAGGGTTCCTTAAGGCATATATGAACAGTTTGATTGACCAGAGAGGTCTGACCACAAACTATCCCAAACTATATGCGAGAGACTTTCAACCAATATGATTTTATGATTTGCTCATCTTGGTGAAGTAGGTCTGCTCGGGATGCTAATCAAGCCGGTGTTGGTCTCAACTTAATACCTCCGCTACATTACCATTTGAGCAGTCCCTCTCCCTTCCTCACGGTTTAGACCAGTGTGGTCCGTCATGAAAAGCCTTTAGCTGGACACCTTTACAAGTAGGCAGTGGATTCCATTCCTTGATCAACACAGTACAGTGGCCTGCCCACTGTTTTGGTGAGGCTGGTGCCCTCAAGAAACAGATCAGGCGCATTCATGGCACTGAGAGCAGGCTACCCGGCTACCAAGCTGGGCTGCAGCCCAAAAGACATTGGGCTTGCCTGAACGACTGGCGGAGGTTCAGAAGAGCAAGAGACTGGCGGAGCACGAGGTTCCACAATATGACTGGCCAGTACAACAGGCGACGGTCGAAAATCACAGAGGCAAGTCTTCCAGTGAAGGCAACCGCTGGCAACCGCACCGGCTTGGCCGCCAAATGGAGCGAGAGGATGTGGCAGCGTTCCTGGGGGGCGTTCCTTTTGGCTTGAGTGAGGTGCGGCAAGGTGATCTTCTGTTGAGTTCGTGGGCTCCGGCTCCGCATTTGCCACAGCACAGCAGTTTTTTGTTTACTTTTCTTCTTCCATTGCGCTCCTTCCAAGGACAGTGCCCAAGGGGCGAGCGCTCGCTTGTGCACTGAAAGTTCTACTCGCTTGTGCACTGAGCAAAATTACTCGCTTGTGCACTGGAAGTGGACTATGCTTGAGTACTGTATATTTGGTGAAGCGACGATGCGTTTCGGGTAACACATTTCAATGGGGTGTTCCTAAAATTTCCAGTGCATAAGTGCATGTTGTTAGACTATACGTGGTACAGCACAGCAACGGTACGTTTCATAGGGTGTTCCTTTCACCTTCTCCCCCCCCACCCAATAGATTGTTGGGGTGTTGTAGATTGCCTGTTGCCACCCCACCCATTAGATTGTTTGGTGGTTGAATGTCCTTTCACCTTCTCCCCTCTAAAAGTGCGCAAGTGAGGTACTCTCCCTGGAACTAACATGGAAGTGGAAAACACTCTGTTTGTAGAGGAACATGGTCTTCCAAGAGGCCATTGTCCACTTCCATGTTAGTTCCAGGGAGTGTAAAGTGCGCAAGTGAGTGCAAGTGAGTTATTTTTTCCCCATGCGCAAGTGAGTGCCTGGCCGTGCCCAAGAAACATGACAACTTTAATCGTTTAACCAACCGATGTTGCTTTTGCTTGTGTTATTTTGATACTTATATTAGCGGTACTTAAAAGCTATACTCAAAATTACTCGAAAGTGTATTTTAGGTGGCAGGAACCAACGTGAATTTCTGTCCATCACTGGCCTCCAAAGAAGATTTCGCAGGAAAACGCCACAAGATGTTTCGTCTTGCAGATTCTCCCCACACTCTATCTACTCGATGCTGTGTGTGTGTGTGCGCGCAGACTCTCTTGATACGAGAATTGCTCAATTCTCTTTTCAGAGGGGCCCTGCAGAACCCAATCCTGCATGCCAAGGTGCCACGGCCAATGCCAACAAGCCTGTGGAAGCTTTCAGGCGAATCAATCGCACCCGGGGCGGTGACGACATATTCCACCAAAAGGTATTCACTCTGACTCATCAAAATGGAAGTGGAATGAAGTGGACAATGACCCATGGAAGATATTGGAAGACTACTTTCCTATCTCTGTCATAATGATACATGCAGATATACAGACAGCGGGGTCTCCTGCGTCTTATTGATTGAGCCATCGCCGAGTCATCAGCTTGGTGTTCATCAGTCGCGGGGCAGATGTCCCTTCGACCCCACGGGGTGTGTCGGGTTGGCAGGTCAGGGGCTCCTGAGTGAAACCGCTAAGAATCATTCAGAAGCATTGTTTTACATGCAAAAGACGAACTGAATTTTGAAGGCTCAAGTCTGTCTGGGGTTCTGTACTTTCGATCTTGTCTGCCTGGCGTTTCAGATTTTGAGGTCTGAAGACGAGTCCTCGAAGTGAACCTATCAGAAGATTTGGGAGGGTGGAAACAAATACACACCGTGAACTCTTGGAAAGCACCACTGCCTGGCTGCTCTCCTTCTGCCGGCCGGCCGGACTACATCTAGACAAACACTCCTTTGGGGGTCCTGTAAGGAACAATAAGAGAAGAAGCCAGCATTTTTAGTGGTGTGGGTGATGCGTTCCGCCGCTTTGGCAGGGTCGACCCATGGCTGATCACAAGGGGGCGGAAGCGACTGGGACGGAAGAGAGCAGTGGCTAACCACTCTAAAATAGATGTTGCCAGTCTGTTCACAATAGAAAGCACCATGAAAGCCATGAAGGCATCCACTTTGCTTTAATCCCCATGGCCTGGCCATTGGCCACAAAACTGGCTCGATGCGCTAGATGCCAGGCTTACCATGTCCAGTAGCCCAGAGAAGAAGGCGTGGGACTGCATGTTGTTTAAAGAAATGCTGCAAGAATCAAGCACTGTAAATATAGTATGTGGTAGCAGCGATCAGGACCGGTTCCGCAGATAACATCAATCCAACTTGGACTCAATGAGTCTAGTATAGTTGCCTCTTGTTCCTAGCAGTTGGGAGACTGCATCGGGTCAATGCAAAAGTCACAGGTATAGAGCAGAACCCCCGATTCCGCCGTGGATTGAGGTGACCCATGAATCCCTTTCAGTGGGACCGTCTCCTTGTCGACTGTGGATGAATCAAACTTCCCCTCCTTGTCTAGCAGAATCGTTTGACATCTCCATACTGTGGGGGTTACACATGAAGCAACCATTTCCGGTGTAACCAGTAACCATACGTGCTCTTTCCTCCATACATGGAGGAGAAAACACGTATTGCACACCAAGTGATCTGAAGACTGCACGCCGCACACCGCTCGTTGCATGTAACTTGCAACGTGGCACGCTACGTCGCCGTGTACGTTGTCGAAAGACAAGTTGCCCAATAGGCAACCTGGTTCAAACGTGTTTGACCTACACAAAAGCGCTCTTACGAACACAGCGCAAATGTATAAGGGCCCGGAGTGGGAGAGAAACGAACCAAGCAGGTTTGCATAGATATATACATAGGGAGACAGAGAGAGAGAGAGAGAGTGATTCAAGGGCGATGCCTGTTGACATGAAATGAAATCACTTGCCGAAAAGTCACAGAACTTGCTTCGATTGACTGGTTTAGCCCGTGCTTTTTGTAGCTGAGAACCCTGTGATTTGGAGCTTCAGGACTTCTTGCCTTTGACTTGCCAAGCTGATACGACGACCCCTGGCGCGTCCAGGAGCCTGCGGCCAGACCCGGATCTGCCTTGGGGAACCAGGCACGGTGCTCGGAGCGGTTTCGTTTTCGCAGTGCGGCACCGTGCCGCTCAGCGTGGCCTGGTCGTGGCCGTCGGGTTGGGGCGCCCAAGACATTCCAAGATGCAACTCAGCGCAAGGCATTGGAAAGAAAGGTTCAAAAAGTGTTGTGAGTTGATAGAACATGATAGAACTTAAAGAGAAAACATAGTCTTTGCCAAGAAGAGACTTGGAGCACGGTTGAACTCGTAGTGCGACTGTAAAGCACTCACAGGTTATTACAAGGCTTAGATGCCTCACATGTGTTGTTGCACATCGCTGTATCCACCAGGAAGTTGGAGTCCTCAGTTTTATCCTATCCAAGCGTCTATGGACATTTAAAATACGACATACATTGTTGCGGGCAAACCCAACAGCTTTCATGGTCTTTGTGTGCATGTTGGGGTTGCTATGTGTTACTGCCATGGGTGATCTAAGTGGTGCAAAACCTCCTGAACGGGGTTCAGAACGGGTCGTTGTAAAATCACTGCGAATCATGACCCCTTGTCCGACCGATGGCTTCGACTTCGCTGTTCCGACCTGCGTGCTCCTTCGCTGTCCGGCAGATCGATGACGAGAGTGACGACGATTTGATCTGCCCAGGGCCTTGGAGAACGCTGTTCGCCGTCGATGCGGGAGCTGAAGGGGGGTCGATGTGGGGCCGGGTGTTCAGCAGGCTCTGCTCGGCCGTGGCGAGTTGGATACACCATGAAACACACCGTCGGATTTTGAGACGCTCTGTGGATGGTTGAAGAACACGGGATGGGGAGACGGGCCAATGTGAGCCAAGTGAGCCAATATGGTTATGGCCATGGATACATACAAACAGTCATTATACACATAAATTATGTGATATTATTGTGTATTCCTTCTATTCACGGATTGGAGTCATATCATGAGTGTTGGCTACACCTTACATCCATGACTCAATGACTATAAGGGACTCCTGATTCTGCCAACCTTGGGATGCGCAGTGAACCAGTCTGCCCGCGGTCTTCGTTGATCTTTCAGACTCCCTGAACACCCCGCAGGACCGGCAGACCCGCTCGTTCGGCCTGTCAGGGGCATGGGCACTGGCACCAGCGCAGAACTTGGTGCGAGGATCTTCACCTGGACCGATTGGAGGATCTTCACCTGGGACTGACATCAACTATAAATCCTACAAGCAGCTGCTTGAGAAGATCAAGGAGCTGTGCAAGCCACGCAGGCCCACTCAGCGAAGAGGCCACCTATTACTGTGCTCGCTGCCCTTGGAGAGAGAAGCATGTGTTGACAGCCTCAGGCGAGGCCCTTTGAGATACTGATGCAGACAGGGAGCTTGCTGGGCAGGACGTCGAGAAGAGAACGCACGCAAAAGGCCACGACAGTGTCCAGCTTGGTCTTGATGGTAAATTCAATAAACACCGCTTCCATCAACCAGTATTCCTGGTCGAAAGGATAACTCACTATGCACAAACGAAGAAGTTCAGTTCCGGCAATTTAGTGGCATACGAGAATCATTGAGAAGTTCAGAGATCCCTCCAGTTCATGACCTGTCCATGTGTAACCACCCTTGTGTAACCTACCAAAAGGATTGCTCAGCCCTGGCATGGTTGCCCTTTGGCGCCCAGTTGGTCCGGCAGCTGCCAAAGCCAGCAGCGCCGCCGCTGCCAAAGGAAGCAGCGCGGCCGCCAGGCGGGGGTTGAACCAGATGTTCAAACCAATTTTTTACAAGCCCTTCTGCCTTGAAACCCTTCCGTTGCACCCTATATAATAGGCATTAGCCCAAACGGCGGTTGACAACGCAAACCAAGATTAAGGTGTTTCATGCTTTGTTGCACAGTCGCTACATGTTTTGTTCATGGGGTTTCAGCAGGCTTTCCGCCCCCCCCCCAACCCCCCCCGCACCCGATTTTTGGAAACCATATTCCCAGGTCCACCCCCCCCCCCCCCCCAAAAAAAAGACATAAACTGGGTTGTTTTCCCATAAACAGTCTGGAGGGGCAGGTTCGAAGAGCCATTGGGTGCAGCAAATTTGCACCTTGCCAGACGCCCACTCTTGCTCCAAACAGCAGCGCCTGGCCGAACCAAGCCGCTCCACCCAAGACGCACCCGAAAGACACGCCACTCCTCATGCAACACTCGACAGTCCACCGCGCGTCTAGGCGGAAGATTGGCGAGAAGATCGGCGTCTTGATGTCCAGCCGCACGGCGTTAAGACACTTACCGAAGGGCAGGCCTTCAGGAGCAGACATCGATGAAACTTGGTGTGTTTTCGGCAAAGGAGTTCAGTAGTGGTTTTTTGGACAAGGGCGCTGCTTCTTTGAATACTAGGGTGTGGCACAGCAACATGTTGTGATCTCCTGCTCCACACAGTCGGTGCCTATTTTTGGTGTTTTTTCCACACGAAGCTCAAGTGTTCCCACGTATTTGCAGAGTTTTCAGAGAATTTGTATCATTGTATTGTATGGAGAACCTTTGGACAAATGAGGACACCTCCACCAATTGGATGTGACCGTACCAAGAAAAGAGGTAAACAAGACACCCAAGGTGTCGATGTGTCGTGCCATGTTCAGTGTTTGTTTTTGCCACCCATGTTCAGTGGATCTACTTTATTTCGTTCCTTCAAAGCACCAAGCCACCGGCCAGCGGTGTTCCAAACATGGCAGCGCTCTCTCTGCAGCCGCCTACGGAAGCATTCAGGTCTCGACAGCGATGAGGACCACGAGCCACTCGGCACACCGATCGGTCGGCTGAGAGAGCGCTGGTTCCGAACCGCAGCATGTTGGGCCCATTGACCTGAAGTATCCAAGAATATCTAGTCTGACTGCCCATGAGGGAGGGGACATGAGGGAACATGGTATGATATGATCGAATAAAAGCGCTTTTTTGTTGCCAGCTTGTTCAAGCTGGAGTGTATGTGCCCATTTTCCAATGATGTCCAAGTCCATTGTCAAATATGATACATTGCTGCATTATGCCACCCAACACTGCATCATCGTATGTGACTGTTGGTTTTGTGCCGGATGGCAACAAGGGTTCATACTCATTTGATGGTGGGTATGTTCCCTAGAACAGGTCTGTTGTTTTGATAAGAACAGGCTCCTGCGCGAACAATGCAGTCCTTCCATGTGCTTGCTACGTCCAAAGCTCCCACGCACGTGCTCAATACTAGCTGCGCCATTTCTGGCACAATTCCTGTGCATGCAAAGGAGGAATTGTATGGAAGTGTATCAAAAGATCAGAAAAAATGTTATGGAAGAATTAGGAAGAATCGATTCCTAATTCAGATACCTTAAGGTCTTTTATGGTCTTTTTCATTGTGTGTTTGTCACCCAAACTTCACCAATCCGGTTGGACTCTGGACCATCTTCAACCGATGTTCAGTGGCGCGGTGCTCGTTGCGCAGGCCGGTGGCGCTGTCGGAGCGGCAGCGGAAGTTGCTGAAGGAGGGCATCGCAGGCGTGAAGATGCAAACAAGGAGGGCGAGTGAGGGCTCGCGCTCATGAGTTCCGCGTTGAAGTGGAACGTTCAGGGTTGAGTGGGCCTAGTTTCGGTGTGGGATGTCCACCCAGCATGCATGACTGCAGGGGGCTGGTATTTGTTTCGCCACCCAGTTTGTCAGCCAAGCTGAAGACCAAAGCAGTCTTTGGAACCCAGTGACCCGGTGACTCCCACGTTTTGACCGACATCAAACGACTACTAGTCCCAGACCATCCATGTATGGAATAGCTACCTACATTGGGATCATGATTATATAAATTAAATGGGGTAAATGTATAACATTGTAGTATATAACTTATTCCATACATTTCCATACATGGATGGTCTGGGACTGTACATTCCTGTACCATGTGACTATTTACTGGGTTCACCTCCCTGTTTGGGGGTGTTGAATCCAGCCTCCCAGGAGCCTCAAAGGGTTGTTTGACGTCCCGGCATGTTGTTGGACGCTCTAATCGACAAGGTTTACAAGTAGCAACTGCAACTGATGAATAACACCCTCCCAAGACAAAAACCAACCGGTGCGCCATTTGATCTTGGGTTGTTTGGTTAGCTAGTGTTTATATGTTTCTATTTTTGTTTCGTAGCGAGCCATTTGGTCAGGCCTTGCAACAATCCCTGGCAGACAAGGCACTTTATGTCGAATGCCACAGACGTATTTACTGGCCAGAACTCAACTAGCTCAAGAATCAGCTGAACGTCGCAATGGTTCTGTGCAGCCAGACTGTAAGCGTGACGTTGTCTACATTTGTCACAGGATACGCCAGTGCATGAGAAGCTGGGGAATATAAGGGGATGATATATGATGACTCGCGACACTCGCGGGGACTGTCACGAAGCGAACGCCGCAGTCCGCGGCCCAAGTCCCCTCTGTTTGAAGGGTAGAGGGGTCCAGCTGGCGCCGCTATGGAGAGAGCCATGCAGGAGCTCTGCCTGTGTGGCTCTCTGGCAGGGCTGACGGAGCCCGACTTGGAGACCCTGGCGGCACTAGGGTGGACGGCGACTAAGCTTGGCACGCTGAAGGGATGCCGTCTACAGGTGCTGCAGTCCGTCCTAGTTGCCGCCAGGAGAAAGAAAGAAAGCTTTCAGGCTGAGTTGGCAGACCTCCAGGAGTTGGTGAGTCAGTGCGACAAGCGGTCTGCCAACATCCATCGGGCTGACGCGAGCCGAGGCTCCCAAGAGCTCCTGGAGGCCCATTTGGAGGACCAGAGGGAGAAGAGGAGACGTGTCCTGGGAAGCCTTGAGGAGCAGGAGGTAGCGGACCGCATCAAGATGGTCGGAACGGCCAAGGTGAGCAAATGGCCGACAAGGCTTGGGAAGAAACTACACCTTGCCGGCGGTGACCTGGCCTTGCGGGAGCAAGCGGAGAAGTCGGAGCGCGATAGATGGCTGGGAGAGTTGAGAACAATCATCCAGAAGGCCAAACTCCCGGTTGCACTTCGGTCGAACGAAGACTCCCTGCTCATGAGGATAGCAAAAGGACGGCGTCCTAACACTTTGAGGAAGCATGTCAAAACATGGCAAAAGGTGGGGCAGTGGCTGGAGTCGACCTATGGCAAGATCTGGCCTTCATCGCCCACCGAGTTTGCAGAGTATTTGGAGGCCATTGTCCAAGAGCCCTGTGCGAAGTCGGCGCCGGAGGCAGCGTTCAAAACATTGATGTTCCTGGAGTTCGCAGGTGAAGTGGAGGAGGGCAATCTCTTTCACAGGTCTGCGGCTGTGAAGAATGCACTGGAGGAGGCGCAGCTCAGATTGGCCTCAGCAGAGATGAGGCCGTCAAGGCAGGCGAGGCTGATCCCTTTGGCAATCATCGAGGCCATGGAGGACATGGTGCTATGTGATGACCGCCTTCCCTTCGTCAGGGCGTACGCCTGGTTCCGGCTGGTGAAGTTGTGGACGGGAATGCGCTTCGATGACACGGGGAACCCCGAACAGGAGCATTGAACTTCGTGATACGCACCTGGTCGGGGTCATTCACAAGTCCAAGACTTCCGGGCCGGGCAAGCGCGTGCTCCTTCTCCCGTTCTACATCAGCAGGGATGCGTGGGTAAGCCGGCACAACTGGTTGGAGGTCGGGTGGCGAATCTGGACTCATATGGGCATGGAGTCTGGGCTACTGACTCGAGATTTTATGTTGGCTTGGCCGACGGCAGACAGGCGATCGTTCGCGAGGCGGATGGCGGACTATGCAACGGCATCCGCAATGTCCCAGGCTTTGTTTGGCGAGCTGTGGACTATGGAGGGAGGCCAGAGGATTTCGTTGTTGTTCAATGGAGTCGGCACGCTATGGACAGAACATAGCGAGCGAGCGACTTTGAGGTCGTGGGCAGCGGCCGCAAGGGTGCCGGAAGACGTCCGGCGTCAGATGGGCAGGTGGCGGCCAGCAGCCGATGAAGGCTATGAACGGGTGGTTCGTGCAAACATTTTGAGAGCCCAGAAGATCATAGCGGCCTTCATCCGAGACAACAAAGGAAGAGGAGATCCCATGGACGAGGCTGCGGTGATGGAGGCAGTGGGCGTTCGCATGGGGATGCTTGGCTATCCGGATGAGGCAATGGAGCTGCAGAACCGCCTGCTGGAGAGGTTTCATCCAGAAGAACTGGCGGTGGAGCCATGCTGGAGGCCGAAGTGGACATCGGCGGGTCCGGTGGTGCTTGTCGAGCCAGAGGACGGCGAACCGATCAATGACCGGGGAACGGGCGCTGATGATCAGGGCTTCGAGTCGCCTGAAGAGCTGGAATCGGAGCAGCCGGGTGAGGTCGTCCGGGCTGAGGCTGTAGCTGGCAGCTATGTTGTGTCGATAGTTGGTCGATCGCGGACGCGAACTCTGCACCGCGTGGGGGAGTGCCATAGGCAGCCCGGTGTACATTACTCGCAATTTGAATTGCTAGGAGATGAACCTCCAGAGTCAAGCCAATACCATCGTGCTTGCAAGAACTGCTTCGGTGACGGTGCAACCGCAGCAGCGATTTCTCCGGAGGACGAAAGCTCCGGGGAAGTGACCTCGTCAGACTCAATGGAGTCCGATGTGGAGGCATCATTGTGAGATATTTGTGGGCCTCACAGTGAAAGGGACACGCTGCACTGTAAGGGGGCGGTATGCGGCTAAACACTAAATGAGAAATGGCCGTGTACATGTCGTAGGAAGGCCTGAGGCGAAAGGGGGGTCTAAAGTTTGATTGAACTTGATGTTCGTGTTCTGTTTGCTTTCGGTGGTTGCTTCGTTTGATCGATTCGTTGATCGGTTTTGATTCGCGCAAGCCACACAGAGTACCTCCCTTTCAGGCATGATGATTGCATGACTGGGGCTCCAGCCGGGGCGGCCGATCGACGGTGGCACGCACACCGAGTTCTCACGGGGAGGACTGGTCCTCGTGAGCGCACATGGCGGGGGCCGCTGGTGCTGCTGGGGCATTGGACATCGGCCATGACACGCCGGTGAGGCGAGCCAATGCCATCTCGCTTCTGGACGCTGATCTACACGGTCTGCTACAGATCAAGGAGGTGAATGAGACCCTGCAGGCGAAGCTGTCGGTGGCGAGGGTGCGAACCATTAGCAGGTTGAGCACGGTGACGGACGACAGGGCTGGCATGAGGAGGTTCTGCGTGGATGCGCTCGGGCTTGATGAATCAAGGGATGTGATAGACATCGCATCCATGGTGGACGCCTGGGAGTCTTCCTCGACCAGGATGACAGTCAGACACAAGGCTGAAGCAGAAGCAGGGCTAGCCAGCCAGCCCAGGGCGCTGAACAAGGTCGAGGTGCAAGATCTGCTCACCAAATTCCAAGCAGTACATGGCATCAAACTGGAGGACAGAAGCATTCCGGCTTCGTCGACGTTGGAGCAGATCTTTGATCAGGTGGAGCAAGGGGAGCTGAAGAACATGAGCCTCGTGCAGTTTGTCAGCAGAGAAGATGCCGAGGCGGACGTGTTGGGCGCCACCATCGAGAAGGGCACAGGAGCTTTGAAGGTGAAGAAGGGATATGGTGAGTGCCCCAAGCCAAAGACGCCAGAAGACTTCAGGCGCCGCATGGCGGTTGTCTCGCATTCATACCTGCTGGCTCAACTGAAGTTCCCGCAGAAGGCCATATTGCGTGACCTCCAGCCAATGCACTTCCTCAAATACCTGGATCTGATGCTTGGCGAGCATGTCCTAGGTCTCAAGGCCAAGAACCAAGACGGCGAGACTGTGGCAGCGCCTGAGTTCGACTTGGTCCTTTCGTATGACTTCCAGGTGAGAAGGGCTATGGTGAAGTTGGCAAACGAAGGCAGGCTGCTTCACGAGGCTTTGAGGGAGGCCATGCTAGACACCACTATCAAAGAGCGCTACTTCCTCACTCCCAATGTGTACTCGCAGGTGGCGCATTCAAGGACGCCACCATGGAGGTCGCGGAGCCCACCAGTTGAGCGCTCGTGGGGCATGGACCGTGGCCGTGATGGTGATCGAGGCAAAGGCAAGTCACGGAAAGGAGGAGGAAAGGGCAAAGGGAAGAAGGGCGGCAAACAGCTACACGATCGTACGCCCGATGGGCGCCAGATTTGCTGGCGATGGAACAACCCTCGTGAAAGGTGCAGGTTCAACTGCGGCAGGCTCCACGTATGTCAGATCTGCTTCGGGTCTCATCCTATGCACGCATGTGATGGCACTGGCAAGTCCAAGGACACGGCTGGAGGCGCCGCAGAGGGCGGCGGAAAGGCATCGTGACGCCACAAGGAGGCGGGCCGTGCCCCAGGCCCGTCGGCAGCAGAGAGCACCACGAGGGGCATACGACAAGGCAGGCATATGAGTGTGCTCTACCTCTTCAGTGGAGCACAACGAAAATCTTCGGTGACATCAGTGCTTCAACATCTATGTCATCAGCAAGGCCTGCAGTGTACAGTGCATGATGTCGACATTCAGAACTCCCCGGAGTGGGACCTTTCAAAGGGGGCAGTGCAACAGCCATTGCTGCAGCGCATCAAGCATGGGGAGTTCGACGTGGTCCTGGTCACACCGCCATGCTCCACATGGAGCAGAGTGCGAGGGGCAAATTGCAGAGGGCCACCAGCCATCAGATCCCGGGACCACCCCTGGGGGTTCCCTTGGCTGTCTGCCCGACACCTCAAAGATGCTGAGCTTGGCAATGTCTTGATCATCTTCATGCTGGACGTGCTAGACACTTTGGAGGCACATCCTCATACAGCAACCGGACGATTGGTCATTGTCTTCGGCGAGCACCCAGAAGATCTCGGCATCATCCGTCGGGAGGAAGATGGCATGCTCATGGAGCCAGCTTCAATCTGGCAACTGCCACGCATGAGGGCTTTGGTGCGACCAGAGTCACTTCTCAAGTTGTTTACGGTGGTTTTCAACCAGTGCTGCTGGGGAGCGCCCTATCGCAAGCCTACACGCCTCATCACCAACTTGGAGGACTTGCGCGAGTGGGGGCAATGCTATTGGCCCCAGTTCGATGCACACCACCACTACCGGGGCCCAATCCTGGCATGCAAGTGCACGCCCTCTATCACCCTTGCCAGAGCTAAGCAGGATTCATCCTTTCGCACTTCAACGACTTCCACCTATCCCGTCGCTATGGACGAAGCTCTGGCCAAGTCAATTCTTCGTCAATGGCTCACAGCTCCCCTCCCACAGACTAAAGAGGGGGAAGGCAGAGGAGAGGAGCTGGAGGGGCTACAAAAGTCCGGTGAAGGCAGAGGAGAGGAGCTGGAGGGGCTACAAAAGTCCGGTGAAGAACAACATCGCAAGAGGCCCGCAAAGGAGAAGATGGAGGGGACGCCCAACAAGAAGGCTAGACCGGAGGAGGACAAGAAGTCTAGACCGGCGGAAGGGCCCCCTATACAAGCCAGCTACAAAGGCGAGACCAGGGCGATCCACGATGGAGCAGGGCTCTGCTCCCCTGGCAGGTGGCCGGTCGCTAAGAGGAGGTGGCCGGTGACGGAGCGGGAGAAGTCCACGGTGACCTGGTTTGAGGATGCGTTTGACGCATGGTTGAACGATGTTGGAGTCGAGGAGGCCAAGCAAATCTTTTGGTCCATGGCAGCGGGACGAGTCAAGCAGTCTCCTTTCGAAAAGGGTATCGACGGGGCGCGCAGGGCCTTGGATCAGCATCTGTCTCGTTGGGGGTTGGAGCCTTGCAGGGCGGCCGGTGATCGGGCATCAGAGATAAACTTCAGGAGGTTGAGGGCTTTGGCGGAAGCTCTGGGCGACGAGGACTTCGAGTTCCTCGAGGAGGTGGCAGCCCGTGGAGTCAGGCTGGGAGTGGATATGGAGATGCCAAGGACGCCGGCCGTGTACGAGGAGAAGCTCAAATGGACCGTGGACGCCACGGATGAGATCATGAGGGATATACTGGCAGAGAACTACGAGTCTGCCGAGGAGAATGCGGAGGACATAGCACGGCAGGTCTTGCACGAGGTCGAGATGGGCACCATCGTGAGGATGATGGAGCATGAGGCGAGGAGGAAATACGAGGGACGGCTGGCGGTGGCGGCTCTTGGCGCTGTCCCGAAAGAGCTTGGGACGAAGAAGGTCCGGTTGATTCACGACGGGACCTACAGTGTGGACGTCAACAGGAGGATCAGGGTGAGAGATCGCATGCGCTTCCCATTGATAGATGATGCCACGGCTGTTTTGAGACAGGTGGAGCAAGAGCTGGATGGCGGTCAGGGTGCGATTCGCTTCTCGGTCCTCTATGACATCGCCAGAGCACATAAGCTGGTCCCTGTCGCCGAGGAGGATTGGGGGCTGCAGGCATTTCGCCTCCCAGGTGACAAGTCTGGTGACATCTTTGTGCACACCAGGGGCACGTTTGGTGTGGCCAGTGCCGCCTACTGGTTTGGCAGAGTCATTGCGGTGGCCGTACGCTGTGTGCATCGGCTGCTTGGCAGGAAGTATGGGCTCCTCCACCTCATATATGCGGATGATGGTTGGCTGACGGCGACCGGCCGTGAGTTCTGGAGGAAGATTTTGATGTGGTTCTTCACCTTCGAGCTGCTGGAGATACCTGTGACCTGGTCGAAAGTCCGTGGCGGCACCGAGGTGAACTGGATTGGCTATTGTCTCAATGTTCACACCTTCCAGAAGGGCATCAACCAGTCGAAGAGAGCATGGATCATCGACTGGATTGATCGCAAAGAGGAGCAAGGAGGTGTGCTTGGGCGAGAACTCAAGTCCGTGCTGGGACGGCTCAGTTTTGTGGCGGGTGCCTTGAGGCACGTTCGGCCTTTCTTAGCTCCTCTCTTCTCATGGGCTTCGACTATGGCACCGGGTACCTTCTCGAAGTTCCCGGACGCTGTGACGATCCTGCTGGACTTCGTACGAGAGGAAGTGAAGAGAAAGCCGATGAGGCGTGCTGAGCCGCTGGAAAAGTGCCCGGTGGACATCTTCAGGGTAGATGCAAAGGCGGCGGGGGAAGACATCGTGATCGGAGGATGGGAGACAGGAGAAGCCCCCGATCAGAAGACCGCCAGATGGTTCTCGTTTCGGCTGAACAGAAAGAATGCACCGTGGGCATATCTCAAAGGTGACCCCTTCAGGAACATCGCCACCTTGGAGCTCATCGGTGTCTTGGTGGCGGTAATGATGTTTGGCCAGATGCCTGTTGGACAACAGGCAGTGCAGCCGTGACTCTCACGGCCCTCACGGACAACTTGGGGAATACCCATGTCTTGAAGAGATATGGGTCGAGCAAGTATCCATTGTCAATTGTGGCGATGGAATTGGCCGTTCAGCTCGACATGCTGGGCATTGACATGCAGCTGCAATGGGTGCCCAGAGCTCAGAATCAACCAGCAGATGACCTTACCAATGATCAGTTCGACGACTTCGATCCGAACAACAGGCTGGTGGTGGATTTTGAATCACTGCCGTTCCAGGTGATGAACCGCTTGCTCAAGAAGGCCGGTGATCTAGATGCTGAGCTCAAGCTGTTCAAGACTTCGAAGGAGGCCAAGATGGCACAGCTGCAGAGCGCTTCTTCGACGCGGCTCGGCAAGGCCAAGAAAGGCGAGTTGCGAGGGAAGGATCCATGGTGAGGACGGAAAGGGAATCAAAGATTTAAACCATGGCTTTGGAAATGTTCCATCGTAAGGGGGATAGGAATGTTGAACTAGTGTTTGAAGGTGGGGTGGTGCAGACCTCCCTTCTAACTAAAGTAGGGGGATGAAAGAAGTGAGGTCATCCATGCACACACCTCTCCTAAG